CTGCTCCCAACTCCCAATCTACCCACCCAGCGAATGCTTCTTTCTCAAGGCCTGGCCCTTGTCTCTCCAGGGACCCACTACATTGCAGTCTTCTAGCACAAACCTAAGAGCAGGAGATGGCTCCTCCTTCCCCATGCGGCTACCCCTCCTCATTCACTCTGTCACTCACATTAAGACAGTTCTATTTGTTTCTAATCCACGGTGTCACCTGAGTTTATCTTCTGAAGACACAAAAGTGAACACTCTGGGTTTGACGTGGTAGCCTAGCATCTGAGGTCCTTGTCTTCAATGCGCTGGGATCCCATATAGGTGCCAATTCTGATCCCAGCAGCTCCACTTCCCAACCAGCTCCCTGCTTGTGGCCTGGGAAAGCAGTCAAGGGCGGTCCAAAGCCTTGGGACCCTGCACACACATGGGAGACCTGGAGGAAGTTCCTGGCTCCTAGCTTCGGATCGGCACAGCTCTGGCTGGTGCGGTCACTTGGGGAGTGAATCATCGGACAGAAGATATTTCTCTCTCTGTCTCTCCTCCTCTCTCTACATATCTGACTTTGCAATAAAAATAAATAAATCTTTTTTTTAAAAAAGCGAACACTCTATATTCTGAAATAAGGTCTTCCATCACCTAGCTACCTTTGAAAAACATTTATTTATGTATTTATTTAGAAGCAGACATAGTCTGAGAGAGCTTCCATTTACCAATTCACTCTCCAGATCTCTGTAATAGCCAGGGATGCTCAAAACCAGGAACCAAGATTTGCATCTGGGTCTCCCATAGAGGTGGCAGCGACCCAAATTGGACCATCTTCTACTGCTTTCTTAGGCACGGCAGCAAGAAGCTGGCTCAGAGGTGGATAAGCGGGGACTTGAACCTGCTGCTCTGGCATAGGATGCAAAGGTGAGAGGGAGCAGCTTAAACAATGGGACAGTGTGGACCTTGGATGTCGGAACTACTGCCTGTCAGCAGGAGACAGGCCCCTTTCTCTCCAGCAGAAGGGACCAGAACTAATGGGAGTCCCAGCCACTTGCAGGCCTCATCTCCTGGTCCACCAACCCCCACTGCTCTGAGTGAGTGCAGCCGTACGTATCTCTATCCCTGCCTGTGCTGGTGCTCTCACCGAAAACAGAGGTTCTCAAGGAGGGGAAAGCGTGCTCCCTGAGAGACATCAGGCAATGACCGGAGTCATTTTTCGGTTGTTACTCTGGTGAACAGGCGTGTTACTGGCACTGAGTGGGCAGATGGCAGAGGTGCTGCTGAGTACCGCACAGTGCCCAGACAGCCCCTCTCAGGAGATGCAGCCAGTCCCCCAGTCCAGCAGTGCTGAGACGGAGAAGCCCTGCCCTCTGTTCTCCTTGCTTTCTCTGCCAGCTGAACTCTAACAATTCCAACACCACCTCCTCTGTGAAGCCTTCCTCTACTTACTGGGGTCCTTTCCTCCAGCAAAACACTGTCAGATCTTTCTCATACCCATCTCTATTTTTTGCACATTATGCTGAAACCAAAGACTTTGTGGGGGAGGGAGGCTGTCAGCGTGTTATCTAGTAAAAGGCCACAAGAAGGGACTTGCCCTGAGACAGACTTTTATTCTTTTTTTTTTATTCCCAGCACTTGGGACAGTGCCTGGTATTTAAATGTGTGATAGACACATGAACCTAAGAAGCTAGATCCTACAGAGAATGCGAAATATTTCTAAGTACACAATTCAGCTCATGAACCTCCCCAAATTAACGTAACTCCTCAGTTCCAAGAAATCCACAAATAATATTGTTCACCAAATTCCTAAAGCTGATCATTCACATTTTATATCAGTTTTAGAGTCAATATTAATAAATTCCATTTTAATAGAAAAGATCAAGTGTTGTTTAAAATAAACTCAACCAGATGTCTCTAAACATCCTGCTAAATCTAGTAAAATAATGACCAGAAAAATAATGGAGCACTAAAATTAGTATGATTTAAAGTGCTTATTTTAGGAAGCAAAGCCAAATAAAGAAAAAACTGAAATGTATAATCTTGAGATTAGTGTTACAGATTTTGGAATCACTGAAGCATATATTTGGACAAAGTTCTTCTAAGGTTTAAGCACTATTACCCCCTCAGGATAAAATAACAGATAAAGAATACAACAGCTTTGTAACAGAAGTAAAAATATGTCTCAAATGAAAATGTACATATGAGCAATGAATGAAGACATGTAGAAATTCGGGCAAAATGCTGTAAAATACTAAGTGTAAAGTCTCCAGGTAGGCTAGTAGTATCATATAGGAAACTCAGAAATTAACAGATTAAAAACATACTAATAGGGTAAACTACCTGCTGTAGACTTTAGAAATCTCAAAAGTCACAATTCTGTAAGCACCATATTTATGTAGAGTACCTTAGCTCCTCAACTGGTTGAGTTAAGAAAATAGGGCCCAATTTCCATTTTCAGGTCAACAGCTATGACATAGCCTTGACAAAAACCCTGTTCTTCAAATAAGGGCTCACATCACCCCAGGCCAGACATTGTTCTGTTCCTGGCTTTGCCTTCTACAGAAACACCACTGTCCAAAGAAAAGACTCTGAAATCTCACCTTCACTCTAAGCTGTAAACACAGAACCCAGCCTGTGTCCCAGACACAGGTAAAAGTTCTCACTGAACTTCAAAAATCAGTCATTAATGAGCTGTTGATTACAGACGAAACTTGACACTGCACTGCTGCAGACTGGCAGCCAAACACACAAGAAAACAATCCGTGGACCTCACAGCACCTCAGAACCCAGGGTCTCGGAGCAGAGCGGTGATTTAATTTCCCGGCTGCTGGGTACAGATAGCTGACATTACTAAATACTACTCTAGTATCAACTTGTTAGCTCTGAGTCCAGACTCAGCAGATCAGAATACGGACCCAGACTAACTGGAGACATGGGAAATATTTTGGGAGCTGTTTATTTATAAGTGAGTTACAATATACCACTATAATTAGATTAATATATAATTATTGATAAACACAGGATTATTTCTAAAACCCTATTATTGTTACCACTGCTATGTTTAGAAAAAAGCAATATTAGTGTGTTCCTCTTAAAACAAGTCCTTGCTTTACTATTTATCAGTTAAAGCAATTTGTATCTAGTACAAAATGAACTTAAGTGTCACTACTATTTACAGTACTTTTACAAGCAGGTTTTGATTAATGAACATCTAAGAGAGGACTAATTTAAAGTTCTCCAGCAAAAGTGAGTATGTCTGCCAGGCTTTATAAACCAGTAATCTACTACAAAACAGAATGTGTCACAAAAAAATTTAAGGTGGCCTACCTCAATGTAAATAAAACCAATGAAAAAAAATTGTGTATTTCCAGCAATGCAAAAGACATTTAATTCACATTTCATAAAAACTCTCTAAAATATCCTTTTTCAAAAGTACCAATAAAACCAAATTGTAACATTGCCAGAAAATCAATTAAATTAAGGATATTTCTATATGTATTTTACACTAATTATTCCCAGTAGATTATTTAACAAAAAGTACCAACAAGACCAAATTATAATATTGCCAGAAAATCAACCAAATTAAGGATATTTCCATATGCATTTTACATTAATTATTCCCAGATTATTTAACAAAGTATAAAATAAGCTCATAATACGTACTAGGGTCAAACAGTCTACTATTAGTATTTTTCTTAACCATTTCTTCATTTTTCAGGGCAAAATGCTTGGAGGAATGACAGTCTTCTGAAAACCTATTTTATAACAAGTTTTCTAAATGGAGCCCGTAATTCTAAATCACAGATCAGAATTTAAAATCTGACCTTTATTTCATTTCCAGCAAAGACTGTTGCCTATATTAATGTGTGGGCACTGGCAACAATGATTAATTTTATCACATCTCTACAAAGAGAAAACAAAGAGAAAACAAAGAGAAAACAAACTAGCTAATACTTAACACTGACCTAAAGGTTTTTTTTTTTCCTGTTTAACCTTCAATGCAGATACTGCATGTTATATAAACATACAGGTATATTCATTCCCACCCTCAAAAAACACCAACCCTATCTATAATAGGGTTGGTCAGGAAAAAAAATTATAAATTTCCTGGATTCTAGCGGGAGCTTCCCAATGTGGAAAGTCAAAACTGTACTTCTGTTCAAAATACTTTAAATAGTTTGGAAAAACCATATTACATAAAGGGTTGTTCTGGCTAGGACTCACTAGAGTTAAATTGCTAGTATAATAAAGCAAACTTGTTGAAACAACAGATAAGGTAAAAAGCCTGTAAAATGCCTAGCAGCCGAAACCAAAATCACACTAAGAAAACTTAGAATTTAGTATTGCTGAAGAATTGAGTTATATTTTAGCAGGCAGTATTCACTGGTGGCTAAAGAAAAGTAGGATGGAAACAAAATCCCTGTGGCCGGGGCATATACAGATGCAAAGGCCATGTATTTCTCCTTGGCTTTAAACTTGCAGCCTGGCAGTTTTTTATCAATGCTCTTACAAACACATGCAGTGTAGAGAAGTCTTCCTTCTACGGTCCTCTGTAAGACAATCTTTACATTTTACGTAACACTGGTTTACTATCGTACGCAAGCATTTGATGTTTTACTTATTTCACAATAATAAAAGAGGGGACAACACCAAAGTAGTACTCTCAGAAGCAGGAATAAAATAAGGAGTCAATGACTCAACTATTATGCCACTTGAGGAAAAACCAAACCCAGATAACACGTTGTAAACTAGACTGTTATTCAATAGTTGCTATTATGCCACAGAAACATTTTATTGCTTACATCATTTAGACAAGAGATTTAAAAAAATATGTATTCTGGAAACTGTTAAATTATTAAAGTGAAAAAACCATCAGAGAATCTTCAGCTTGAAAAATATAATGTTCATGACTATAAAATACTTGCTAGCTAAAGATCAGGAAATGCTGAGCATAGCATACTTTAACCAAATTTATCCGTAAGCTATTCCAGCATAAAACTCATTTAGCAAGACCAAAGGAAACTTACCTTACAAGAATTGGACAGTTCATTTATGAAATCTCTGTTGTCTCTTGAGAAACCCGCAACCTGATCTTCATTCCTAGATGCAAACTTGATGAGCAACTGAGATGGTCCCCCCTTAGCACAATTGTGTTGAAGGCTGGATAAACAGGAAATACTTGGATAAGTTCCTCCCAATGAAATACTCCTTTGTAAAATGGCATGGCTTTTGTTTGTCGGGGAATTTGGTCTTTCCAACTCTCCACTGATATTTACTTGGTAATCTGCATTTAGGGAGGATGGCAAACATACAGATGTCCTGGGTCTGAGCTTGGGCATGCACTCTGAATCAGAGTTCAGCTCGACTTCCGACATCTCTGCTTGACAATTCTCATCTGTAGTTTCACCATCTGCTGTGATTGCCTTTGGTTGTGTGAAATGCACTGAAACACAAGAATATCCTTCAGGTGACTTCTCCCAGGCACTCTGTTTGGGACTGTTCCGTGACAGGGCAACTTTCTTTGGTGCCGAGCCCTTCCCGTGAAGTGGCCGGATGTCTCTTACTTCTCCAGGTGTGTAGATTGTTTTAGACAACCGGAGCCCATTGACAGCTGTTGAAAGAAATCCTTTAGCACTGGTACCATCTTCATGATGTGCCATGTCACTGGCAGACACCAGAAACTGGTGTGAAGTTTGGTAGGATCCTTTGCTCGGAAGAGTACTTGTACTCGTGGGAGACGTTGGTGGGGTATTTGAAGGACTCCTGGGAAAAATGACCAAGGATGAGCAGCGTTTGAGTGGCATTTTCGGGTTCCTGCTCACTGCCAACTTCACTGTCTCTAATCCAGGCTCCAAGTCATCCTGGACAAAAGGAACTGTACTCGTACTTCTTGAAAAAATTTCACGTGGAGTGGCAATCCTGATTGGCACACTTCTGTGGGAGGTGCTGTCAGAATATAAATTTCCACCCAAAAATGGATCGTCGCTTGATGGAAAAGTGTAACTGCTGCTGTCACTGACAACACTGTTTGCGTACGAGCCTCCGCTTGTGATACTTGCACATGACCCGTAGTCACTACCGGTGCTGCTGTAAGATCCATTATCACTGGCAGGAAAGTGACAAAGGCTACCGCTACACATGGCAGAACTGCTTAAAAGGTGGCCACCGGTGCCAGCATTCAGTTCATGATCAGCCACAGCAGGGCTGTCAATGTCATTCTTCAAGACACAAGCACACGAAGACGTGTCATCGCCATCAGCTAAGACACTGCAAGATGGAAGACATCCACTGTACCTTGTTGGCTGCAGTGAAATCTGTAAACAGCTGCTCTTTTTATTAACATTTTCAGACGCAGGAGCAGATGGTCTTTCCTGAGCCTTAACACTTTCCTTGATTAATGGAGCTCCAGCAGCGTGTCTGGGAGTCAACTTCATTTGAACCACGTTCGACGCTGAAATCCGTGCTGGCTTTTGGAAGCCCATGTGGACGTGGCCATCCAAATCATCTCCGGAGGTCTCTGACAAAGGGTACGTATTGCTTCTTCTGGCTGCAAAGTGCAATCGTAAGCTTTGTGCCATTTGTCCTCATTTCCAAACATGTTAAGGGCTGGAAGTCATAACAAAGATCTCTGTCGGGAGACAGGCTAGAAGCAGCTGCACGGCATCGCAAGAAAAAATCATTTGTGCTGCCTCAAAGAGCTGCGGAGCAGTACCCTGCGTCCTTGGTAAAACATCAGATACCAGATATCACGGAGAGAAAAAGACAGCCCGGTCCTGAGGCTGACGGTTCCAAAATATCTTGAATCGCTTGTAGTCAAAATGCCCTCACTTACAAAGCACTTGATTTCCAGCGACCTTTAAGCTGAGCTCAGCTGCAGCACACTGACTCAAACAGAGCCAACCTTGTTTCAATTATACCTTCTCCAATTTGCATGAATGAGTAACACAAGAACAACAATCTTCTAGCATTTCAAGTCGAAACCGTGTTTTTTTCACCCCAGCCCTACTAAATGAACACTGAACTATGTGAATCACAGTGCCTATACTTTCTCCGGCACAGTTTAGCCACTAATATTTTTACCCAAAGGTATAGAATTACAGGAAGTTGGTAGGAATGAAACTCCATGTAATTGAGTATCTAATCAAAGATTGAATTTCCAAACAGTAGCCATGCTAGGAATCTAAGTTAAGTTAGTTAGTGTAGGAAGGACTAAAAAAATTGTTTAATGAGTAAATTCAAATAGTTGTATAAATGTGGAAACACCCAAACTCTGGGAGGGAATTAAACGCTGAGTATGAAATCAAACAGATAAATACTTTAGCTTCTGAATATCAGTTTCAAAAAGTGAAAGCTTAAAGACTATACTATATAACCAGCCTAGAGATAATGTTGTAAAAATTGAGCATAGGTCTGAAGAAAAAAAAAATAAAAACAACAAAAACAAGCTTAAGAGAAGCTGTCACCAAGCATTTTCTCCTATAATTTTAAGCCCTTTTGGAGCCAAGTAGTACAGTCTTTAAATGATGCCGTTTATATTTTGACTATTAAAACTCTGCCAAGAAATAGCCTAAGCAAACGTTCCTTTAAAAATATATGCAGATTAGACAGAAAAGTTATACCCCAGCATGTTCAGGACACACAGGATATTTTATTCCACTGTCTCTGCAATTCATTCACTTACGAGAGTGTTGTGGTAAGTAAAGTCTAAAAAGGATTTAACACATCAAATAAACACATCTCAATGCCAATTCTGTTCTGAAAAGCTCACAGGAGCTCTTTGCTGGCCCCTACTGGTGCTTTGGAACAACCATTTAGTAGTTGGATATCTATACAGAAACACAAACCACACTACACATTTCTTTATATAAACAAAGTACATATTTGTTTACATTGCTGAAGGCTGGCACTGCTCTACAGGTGGAACTGCTGGCGCTGATAAAACTCACACAGCAGAGAACAGTAGACTGACTGTTCCTTGAGAGGTTGTGATTTTGTAGATGTATTTTTGCTGCTTTGTATTTATTTAACCTTTATTTTAAGTTTATTAGGCAATAAAAGTTTAATATTTAAATTTCTCTCCCAAATGTCATAGACCATGCTTGGTATTTTATTTGAAAGACACAAATTTATTTTTAAATAATACTCTAGGGTATGTTTAAACTCCTTACCTGAATTTTATAGCTGGAACTCCAGTAATAAATATATACTGGCTCATTCATAGGAAAGTCAAAAGTAAAATAGCTCAGTTGTTTACATGGTACTACACCCAAGTTATATTTTTTCTAAGTCAGTTTTTTTCCTAAGTAAAAGCAAATATGTAAAACATATACTCACGCTTTGTTTAAAAAAAGAAAACTGCTTAAGTTAGACCTGTTTTCAATCACAACTTTCTACATGGTATTTTAAATCAATTAAGATCATAAAATAGAAATCTGGGAATTAAATTCCATGTAACTGGAATGGGACATGTACTGTGTTTTAGAATGTGTAAAGAACTATAAACTTAGAAATACAATCATTAAACTATTTTGGTTTTACACAATCTATTTCCTTTATGATTTTACAGACTTCAGTAAATATTTCCTTATGCTTTTTTGCCTAAAGATGAAGGAGCTCAGATTGTTTTACTCTACCTTCAAATGATTTCAGTAGTCCTTGGATTAAGTTAGGGGCCCAAGACCTCACAGAATGAACCACTTCTGGTAGGCTAATTAATAAAGTATTACGCAGGTCCCAATGTGAAGGTTAATTCTATGTGTCAACTTGGCAAAGCCACAGTGCCCAGATGTTACGTAAAATATCACTTAGATACTGCTGCAAGGGACACTGTGAATGAGATCAACAATTCAATCAGTAGTAGTTAAAGCAAGGGGATGGTACCATGGTAGTGTAGGCTAAGCTCCACTGTAGCATCGGTATCCCATATGTGCATTGATTAGAGTCCTGGCTGCTCCGCTTCCCATCCAGCTTCCTGCTTATGGCCTGGGAAAGTAGCAGAGGATGACCCAAGTCCTTGGGCCCCTTCACTTGCATGGAGACCAAGAAGCAGCTCCTGGCTTGGATCAGCTCAGCTCCAGCTACTGCAGCAATTTAGGGAGTCAACCAGTGAAGATCTGTCTCTCCTTTTCTCTGTAAATTTGCCTTTGAATTCAAAATAATTTTTTTTAATATGTTAAGGTAAGCAGATCACCTCCCACAATATGTTGAGTCTTGTGCAATCACTTGAAGAGCTTATGAGCAAAGCCACAGCTTTCCCCCAAAATAAGCAATCCTGCCTCACGACACATCAACACAGAAAATCGCGCCTGGGTTCCCAGCTTCCTGTACTGCCCTTTAGATGTCAGACTCAAATCTGAAACACTGACCTCTACTGATCTGAATCCCAGCCTGCTGTTCAATGACTCCAACTGCAGACTCACCAGCTGCCACAACCATGGGAACCCGTTCCTTAGAAATCTCTCTCCCCAGACCAGGCCACAGCACCCACAGGTATGAGCAAGAGCCAGATCTGGGAGTCTGGGAGTTTGGGGGTTTGGAGGGCTGTGGATGGAGTGTTCCTGACTAGTTGCAATACCTGTGGGTGCACATGAGGGTGGGTCTGAAGCAGACCTGGAAGAGGTCCACAGCAGACTCCCTGACAAGGCCCCAGTACTTGCTGGTACAGGTATGTGCTGGTTTAGGGGCAGGCTGTGCTGTCATGTGCAAGTGCCCCGTCTTGACATGGATCTGATTGGGGTTCTTGGGGGTTGACCCAACCAGACTACAGCACTTGCCAGCACATGTGAGGCTGGGTCTGAGGGCAAGCCTTAGAAGGAGTCCTCAGGAGTCTCCCCAACTAGGCTGCAGGACTTGCTAGTACAAGCAACAGTCAGGTATGGGTGCGGGCTGGGTTGGGCCAGAGCAGCCCAGTGGGTACTGGCACCTGTGGGTCTAGGTGCAGGCCAAACTAGGCCTGGCTCCAGCACCCAGTAGTACATGCAAGAGCTGGACTATCAGGAATTGACCCAATGGTTCCATTCCACCTGACCCTCAATCTCAGGAAACACCACATGGAAGTCTAGTCTGGCCTTGGAGCACATGAAGCGGGACTGCTCTGCTTCGTTCCTGACTCTGCAAGGAAAGACAACATACTGGGATGCACAGTTAAGACAGGATGGCTGCCTCTGATTGAACAGAGGACTTTGATGCTTCATCAAAAGATGGAAAGAAGAGCAGGCTGAACAATGCTGTGGGCCCAAATCTCCACAAAACATCTAAGGCTAGCACATACTAAAACAGACACAGACAGCTGGCAGGTATGGGAAGCAATATCTTATACTTGGCGCAACCAAGCTAACACCAAATCAGAGCAATTGAGACTACTCAAGTAACAGCCTTAGGACATTCTTCCTCCCAACAGGGTCCGTGGGATGGAGTTAGGGGACCATTTCTGTGCACTGATGTGGTCTGGCAGCAAGGAGTGGTGCAACACCTCCCTCTACCCCCACCCCCACTGTAACAGGAGGGAGGGCACAGTCTTTTCCTTCCCTAACCACCCCCACCACCAGCTCCATCCCTTCCCATCCCACCCAGAGAACCGCATAGCTCTGTAGTCTTCTCATTTATATATAACAAACATTTAAAAACAAATAAATTTAAACTTAAATCTCTCCTTGGCTCCTCTCTGTATATGTATCATTATTAGTTCTACTTTTTACTAATCTGGTCACTAAAGTTGAGAGACAGAGCATCTCCAGTCAGAACACAGGTGTCCATTCAAATTCCAGGGGCAGGTGCATGTCTCTAAAGGGTGGCACAGAAGCACCAACTCTTCCACTGATGGGAAGTTTCACCATTCTGAAGTATTCCATCTTTATGAACAAAGCCACCACTATCCTCATCACCAAACGATTCAATTGTTTAACCTTCAAGTCTTAAGATGGGCTGGAAAAAGAAGGGATGGGGGATTTACAAGACTACTCTTTCTGAAAAGCAAAATATCACTTATATTGCTAATACTTTCCAAATGACTAGAAATTGTGTGTGCTTAAAATTATATTTCTGCTCGTTGTCCTATGTTTCCGAAGAGAATCTGTGAGGAAGATTGTATGTTATTAATCTGGTTGGAAATGCTGCGGGAGAGTAAAGACATAAGCATAGCATATGTCATATTTTCTATAACATCTCAGCAGATCTATGTCAGCCATCTGCTAGGACCAGCAACAGCTTGAAGAACTACACTGAGAAACACCTCCCATGGTAAGGATCTCTGGCTCCCTATTGCTGGTTAAGTGAGATTCTTTAGAGAGGAACATTTTACAGATTCAAATCATGCAAGGAAGCAACTCTGAAGGGATGTTTGGGAGTTTCTTGGAAGTTTGTGGAAAATGGAATGAAAAGATAAGTTTAGTGACAAACATTTGGCCTAGAGATTTCAGATGTTTATACCCTGTGTCAGAGTGCCTAGGTCTGAGTCCCAGTCTGCAGCTTCAGATTCCAGCCTCCTGCTAATGCACACCACGGGAGGCAGCAAATGATGGCTCAACCACTCGGATCCTGCCCAGACAGGAGCTGTGGCTCAAGATCCCAGACATTCAGGGAGTGAACCAATAAATGGGAATGGGAAGCTCTCTTTCACTGTATCTGTCTGTGACTGTCAAATAACAAGAAAGAAGAAAAATTTGTTTTGGTGCCAAGAATTTTGAAACCTATGCACCATCTTTTCAAAAATGTTTCTCATTTTTGGAGCTGGCATGATGGTTCAAATTGCTAATCTTCCCCCTCCAAGGGCTAGCATCCCATAGGTGTGTTGGTTCCTCTGCCGGCTGCTCTACTTTCCAACTAGTTCCCTGTTTCATGGCCTGGGAAAGTAGTGGAGGACGGCCCGAAGCCTCGGGACTCTGTACCCATGTGGGAGATCTTGAAGAAGCTCCTGGCTTTGGATTGGCTCAGCTGCAGCTATTGCACTCACTTAGGGAGAGAACCAGAGGGTGGAAAATCATTTTCTGTTAATGTGCCTTTCCAATTTAAAAAATTTAAAAATAAAATAAAAATTAAAGATTTTTCATGACCTTTTGATGTCCCCACAAATACTAATGCT